GTGCTTTTTGGAAAAGCACCTTTGGGGCAACCACGACCTGGATAATTGAGAATCACTATATACATTCAGTGAATTAACACAACATGATAAATTAAATCCAAATAAAATTGGGGTTCTGCTTGTTCTAGAACATGGTCATTATATGAGCATGTGTCATGAAATAGGCTATTGCATTAAGTCATGATATTGGTTCATCTATTTGGGCATAATGTATGAATCTAGGAAGTTTGTTAACCCCAGTTTGGAATTTACTGTCTTCTGTGTAGTTAGAGAATCCATGTTTCTAGTTGTCAGGATAGTGATTTAAGAGCTGACCAGCTGCTGCAATGCTGCAATGATGTAATGATGGAAATGAGTTAGCAAGATTTTTGGCTGTTATCCCTTTAAGAGCTTGTATAATAATAAGAGGCCCTATTTGGGTATCTCTCTCTCGCCATGTGTTTTTCTCTGCTGTAATTGCTGATTGTTTGACTTCTGCTTATAGTACATGCATATATGTGTATGTATATATTCTTTTGTAGATAAAACCTCTGTTTACTGTTATTGTAGTAAAGCTTTTTGCACTCTGACACTAGTTCAACTGGTTTTCTGGTTTCTTTATAGGAGGAACTTTCTGTGGGGTCACAAATATCTTCTCTGGACCAGGAATCATTGTCCTGATCTACTAGCATCATTGGAAGTGAATATTGTTCTTTCGAAAACATTTCTGTTATTTTCCCACCTGGGTGAAATCTCTCTCCCATTCAATTTTGTCTTCATCAATAGTAAATCCTTTGTGAGGATCCAACCTTCCAACCTGGACCTTGATATAGGAATTATTAGAAAAAGTGGCCAAGTTTGTAATATCAAATCCACCTGCCAATTCTCCATGGTCATTAAATGTGATTTCATCTCCAGCACTGTTGTTGAATGAAATCCTCTGAAGAAATGAATGAAGCTGGATATAAGAAGAAAAAATAATGTAACAGACTGTAAAGGGTTGGAATGTCTTCTCTCTCCCCTCCCCCAAGTGCCTCCTGTTTGAAAGGCAAATCACACAACAAGGCAATGATTAAAATAGCAAATGTTTACTTGGATTCTGAGAGAAATAGGATTATTCCTGTAAAAGAAAGAGCAATAGTAACACCATAGTTATCCTGTGTATAACCTAAGAATTCAGCTGGAAGAGATTATGTAAGGAATTGCGTGCAAATGTTAATCATAAGGAAATAACAAAGCTATAAAAGACTATAATTACATTAGCAAAGGAAGCCAGCTCTCAAGATACAATTAATAGTGTAATTGTTATCAGAATGTAGGGGGTAGAATTTTTGGGAAAACTGTGCACCCAAAATCATCTGACCAATGGTGATGGAGGGGCAGTGATAGGGGAGGGGTTTCTGGAATTGTATTTAAACCATGTACTTCTTTGTATCATTGCTCTTCTGTGACTCCACCCACATGAGTGCAGGAAGCCAACTTTTGCAAAAGTTCAAATAAAGCTCTATATTGTTTATAGTGTCTCCTGTTGATTCAAACTGAGAAATTTAAATCTCATAGATTCTATTTTTTTCTTTAAATCACAAAACTATATCTGTAACTGCTTCAGCCCTGCTTCACTTCATTTCGATGGCAGCCTGCCAGTGGTGGGATTCAGCCAGTTCCCATCACTTTGGGAGAACCAGTTGTTAAGTTTCTGAACAGTTTGGTGAACTGGTTGTTGGAGGAAACCATTAGGGCAGAGAACCGGTTGTTAAATTATTTGAATCCCACTACTGCTGAGACTGACCTATATTGTTGGGAGGGGAAATGGGAAGATAGGGGATGACAGGAAGCAGAGGTGCCACCCAGAGACAACAGTTAAAAGATCCAAGGATATAATGGGAATGGAATGAGAAACACCCATCCAAAGATGCACCAAAAAGTGAAACTCTTACCAAAATACCTAATTTGAATCTTATTGGCCATCACCAAGATGACCAAGTGGGGAGGGCCTGGGAGAAGGGAAACTAATGGACTAATTGGGAAATCCTTGGATCTGGCCGTGCTGTGCTTAACTACTTGACATTAGTGAAAGAATACCTTTCACTACAAATAGCATTGAGGTCTTTCTTTCCAAATACCCAAGCTGCTACAGGTCTGACACTTTGCTAGGCCATGTCTTTACAAACTTTTCGTGGAATAATGTATAACTCACTTAAAAACAAGCTAAAATGTACCCAAACATGAAGCCGACGTGCTAGAAGTGTAAAAAGGTACAAGGGACCTATTATCACATATGGTGGACCTGCCCGGAAACACAAAAATATTGGACAAAAATTTGGAAATGGGTGCAAGAAATTACAGGAGAACAGATAAAACACAAACCCGAAATCTTTCTACTGGGAATAATCAAAGGGAAATATACAAAGAAAATTAAGTACATATTAACACATCTGCTAACTACAGCTAGAATAGCATTTGCCCAATGCTGGAAACAAAACAATACGCCCTCGGACGAATCAGTGATAAAAAAAAAAGTTTGGATTGTGCAGAGATGGACAAATTAACACTGAAATTAAAAGATAAAGAAGAGT